AGGTTGGGCCGGGGACCTCCGTACGTACGGGATGGTGACCCTGTCCGGGATAATATAAAAATGAAGAGAGTAAGTATAAAAATTGTTTATGAAGTATGACTAAGGCCAAGGTTGAATTTTTTTCTATCATGTTGGGTAGGTCTAATCTTTCGCCTAGAAGAATGAAAATTATAAAGTTTGTGGAAAATATTTATGGTTGTTTAAACTGTTGTTACGGAGACCAAATACACCTCTAAGTTGGGGTGGCCTAGTCACATGTCGTTTATAACTTTATTAAGGCAGCTCAGACGTTCTCCTAAGTAGGGACGGTCTTATCACATTGTCTTATATATTTAAATCGTTTAGGCTAACAGGGCATATCCCTAAGTTGGGGCGACCTAACTATATGCCTTGTATTGTTGATGTTATGCGAGTTGAACGTACCCTTAAGTTACGGCAGTCGGAATATTCGGCGTTTGTGATTGTTTAGGCATGTTAGACATACCCCTATGTTGGGGCAATCTAATCTTATACCATCTATTATTTTTTTTGTTTAAAGCTAACTAGGCATACCCCTAAGTGGGGGTAGTCTATTTTTATGCTTCATGTCGTCAATTAAGTATTGTTAAGTTGGGGCGATCTCGTCACATGCTTTATGTTCATGGTTTATGTTGGGTCAGATGTACCCCTAAGTTATGGCGGTTTAGACATACGTTTTCTATCATGTAAGGTAGTCATACCCCTAAGTTGGGGCAGTGTAGTAGTGCATATCCTATGCACTTATTTGGACATGTCAAACGTACCCCTAAGTTGGGGCAATGTAGTAGTGTATATCCTATGCACTTATTTAAGTAGGTCAAATGTACACCTAAGTTGGGGCGGTCTGATCCTATGTCATAAGAAAGGGGGATAAAAGGGGGTTAAAAGAATTGAGACGCCAATGAACTATTTGATTAAATCAAATGGGGAATTGTAACTCATATGATTGATTGTATTTGTTTGATTGGGGCACTTGTTTGGGACGTCTCTTGTTGGCTTAGTCTACTTAGATGCTCATCGAGTGATGGAACCATAAGAGTACCAAAATGCATCATGAGGGGGAAACTTGGGATAAGATAGGACTGACCTTACTAAGGGTTAGGATTGGTGCTAACGCACGATACCATCTTCAGAAAATAATCGTGATGACCATCTCTAGTTCTAGTTGTCAAATAAATGTCATAAGTTGGTCTCAAGTATAGTTATACTTTGATTTCTCATTTTCAACTTTGTATAAATCTTGATAGTCTCCTTTTCCTACGAGAAGTGTTTCCGAAATTTATACAAATATGAAAGAGTTAGTATTTCTTTTGTTCATATAATTTTTTTGAAATACTCTTTTTCCACGGGAAGTGTTGCTAAAAGTTTCTGATATTTGAAAGTTAGTTTATTTTCTACTAGAGAAAATTTGATGAGTTTATTTCTTGCTAGAGAAAATTTGGAGATCTACCCTATCTGGGGGAGATGCTGCTTAAATGTTTAACAACCTATGAAACAGCATGAGGAAAAAAAAAATAAAAAAAATAAAGGAGTCAGAGTATAATAGGGAGCGTATTTTTCATCTATCCTTAAGCGAGACACTTATTTTTTTGTCTGCATTGTGATATAGATCTGCGTTTGTTAAAAAATTCAACTAGTTCGACTTGATCCATTAAGGATCGATCATCCTCTGTTATTGTTTGATAACAGGTCGGTTTATGACACAACCTTATCTGCTTCTGCACCTCAACCTAAAGCCTTAGTCCCTTTGGTTTTTATATGTTTCTTGGGATTCTCACCCAAACTTCTTTCTAAGTGACAATTTTCAAGAACTGAGTGTTATTGTTATACGATAATGAAAAATGGTTAGCCGCAGAGAATGATAAAGTTGACCCGTATTAATGTGTGGGATGTTGTCGTTCAATTATGCGTGATCGTAGGTATACGTGATGATGGATTGAGTTTTGGTGATTGTGTGTCTATTGCGTGAATGCTGATAGATAAACCACAACAATATTTGTGAGAGCGATCACTAATGTCATACCCCTTCATCTAAGTGATCCAACTAATTTATTTCGCATAGTCACGGGCACACACCCGCACACATGGGCGCGGTATTCATAACAATACGCATGGTTATTCACTATTTGAATTAATTGGTTGGACGTTGGTCCTAAACCTGAAATTCGAGGTCCTTGTCCATCATATTCCAAGTTTCTGTTCAACACAAAAGAGTTTCTCCTATACGATGAACATTTGCGCTTCGCCCATCATAACGCTCTGTCTAAGTGTCAAAGACGTTGCGAGGGTTGCACAACTCATCTTATAACCATTTTATATCGTGAAGGAAATTTCCTTCACAATATTTTATTTTTGACACTTGAGTGTCGTACGCGACACTGAAACCCGCGACGGGTTGCGCGATTATGAGTAATGTGTGAACCGTCGCCATGGCAGTTGATTGATTGAGTATGTATAACTAAATTTCGTGGTTTCGTGCACGTTTACACTCCTTTTAAGCATTTTGGTGTGAACCACACCAGAGATTCTCATACAGAATAAGTTATGAGTCCGAACATTTGCAAAAATGACTAGTAGGCGCGATTTGCACATGGATTCGAGTTGTAATTGAGAAAGTGTATCGTGGAGTTAGATTGGTCGTCCTTATTGACCGACATAAGATCGCGTTCGGGAGATCAACACCGCATGCGACAATTCGTGCACGGGTTTGAACTGGGCGTTAACTATACATACCCCCTATGCTACAGCGAACCGAAAATGCCCTCGGTTGAGCCACCTCTATGATTGCATACGAAAAACTTTCGTATGTGGTTTAGTAGCTCAACGGGGATACGCCCACCTAAGAGATGGTGACAACTTCCCCAAGTGGAGATAAGTTGTGCCTGGCGTGACCCTGTCCTGTCGTAGGGGTTCGTTAGAGGTACGGTTGGTGCACTCGGTTGGAGCGACAACGCTATGTGTGAAGTCCTGCAAAATCCTGCGTGATACGGTCGGGAGGGTCTCCCTGCGGGACCGATGCGGTCAATAGCGTGCAGTGCACATCCACCCGTTGTCGAATATCGATGTCTTATATATGGTGCGACAAGCAGAGGTGGGAATCATGAGCTCTTAAATCTTGTCTGCCATCAGAATTCGAACCCAGGTCTGTATTTCAACAAGTCGTGGGAGTATGTTGAGAAAAAAAAAACAAAGACAAAAGAGATTGAACATTGTGATTCATCTTTCTGGCTGCTTCCCTTGCCAATAGTCGTTGTTGGATCGTTGTCGCAATGTATTCCCAGACAGATGTTTCGGGAAGACAAGGGCGATTCTGACCGATCCACCACTCTGTGCGTAGTGTAGTTCTACGACCCTTAAAAAAACTAGTCAACTACACCACCCTTACTCCCGCTGCGTTCATGTGCCAATGAAATAACGGCACGAAGCATCCCAGCTGCCTCTGAAAACAAAAAGAAAGCGTTATCGATTCAGGCCATAGTATCCCCTCCCCACGGAAGGTCCACATCAGGCCCCCATGCATCACACCTACACTATGTGCATGCAAGTGGGACCCGGCCCCTGGCCGCACCACTGCGGGGGTGGTCCTTGGGGCTTGCACTCAGTCCCACTGGGCTTCTCACCAGCTTTCCCCCCCAGAGTTCCATCTTCGGCTGCCCTCCATGCCTATGGGCTGTGATTGATGCTCCGCCTACATGGCCCCTCACCAAAGTGCCCACGCAGTTAGCAGGAGATGGTCCAGTGCAGCGTCCGAGCTGTATGACTCTTCTTGGGCCCCGTCTTTCCTTGTTCTTGGCGCGGGGAGAGACGGTAACAGTCGAACGGCTGTTCTCTCGTGTGTCTATCTATAGCTCAGCTGCACCCTGAGCGTAGCCAAGCTTGCAACCGGCGTTGAGGCCCTGGCGCCAGCGCGGAATGCAGCCCACTAACCCCTTGACTGGAAGGATGGACTTTCGATGGCCAACAAGGGAGGGTGAACATCGTGAGAAGACAAGTCACTACTATAGGGAAGTGTGAAGTGTGCAGCGAAGGAGCTCAGCCAGCGCAGACTACGTACTGCCGCGTGCGCGATCCTTTGCACCTGTGTATTCCTTCTTTGCCTCACATTGCTTACTAAGCAGAAGCGTGTACAACTCCGTTCTTTTTTAATAAATGGCGTGTATGGGGAGCTAGAAGGCAGAAAGATTCGCTTGCCGTTTGTTTTCGTCCTTTTCACAAGGGGGCAGTGGTGGAGCGAGGCCCTTGGTTGGGAAATTTAGCGGTCACAAAACACAAGGCGCCGGCGGTTTTTCTTTTTTTTTTTAATTGGCGCCGGCGGGTTTCGCAACCAAGGGATGGCCTGCGGTGCATCACTCGCCAAATGTGAAAAATGGCGGATGAATCTCTCCAGCTATAATGGAAGTATACAATCACCAATTTTCACATCTGCCAGAGTCAGGGGAGCGAGGGCCTAAGAGTATCCTCTCGCTGTCTTCCAGTTTTCATTTCCTTGATTGGAAACCACAAGTTTACCATGGAATGAAATTCCAAATTTAACCTACGGCCCAAAGGGACTATATCGACCGAATACGACCGCGCAGGCGGTCAGATACGCCCTGGAAGCCCCTTGGCGAGGATGTCCTCAAAGGCCACCGAGGAAGAGCCTCGTAACACAGGAAAACCTCGCCAAAAAGGTAAAGCCAGGCGGGAAGCTGAAAGGGAAAAGGACATCAACGGAGAATTGGGGGTGGAACGTCACTGCCCCACCCGTCCACGACGGACAGCCCTCGTGGATATGCCGTGGCGTTGAAGAGAGTCCCACACGCACGAGGAAGAGAGATGCGCGAGGAGACGACCATTGGTGGTGGTGGATGAGGAGAGGGAGGGAGGGGAAGCGTAGGATTGGGAATGTGATGGCCGTGGGAGGGAAGGGAGGTAGGCGAAGGGCAGGATTACAAAGGTTGGGGGAGTGAGGTGGCGTGTAGCAGTTGGTCGCTGACCGGAGCTGAAGGAAGGAGTTGGGAGCCGTTGCCCCATCTTCGTAATGGCAGTGCGCATTTGATGGAACGTAAGTGCGTCTCGGAGCCTCCACTTTCACCTACACTAACGCTAGCATAATCCAATCTTTGCATCGGCGCGCGTGTGGGGGCAGATGAGCTTCCACGCGTTTGCGAGTCCGTCCGTGCCGCCTCGTGTGCATGCGCACTCGTTCGCGTGCCTGCGGGCGAGCCCGTCGGTTTGCGCCTGTGCGCTTACGTGTCTTTGCGTGTGTGTGTGTGTGTGTGTGTGTGTGTGTGTGTGTGTGTGTGTGTGTGTGTGTGTGTGTGTGTG